ATAAATTAAGTAAATGAGTAAATCAAATCATAAAATTTAAAGGGTCTAAGTTCCCACATTACTTCTTAGAATTGAATAAATCAAAGAAATTGAGACATACATTCAGCTCAGCTTCAAAGAAAGAAAGTTAAGTCTGATATTACTCAACACAGTTTTTTTACTTTAACTTCTCTGCTCAGCATAATACAGTGTCAGGCGAAGAAGTGTAAAATGAGATTATTCTAACAGACAAAGGAAGTGGTGTCTCTCATAATGGTTGCAGCAGTTGTTCCTGTTGAAATAACCGGGTGGAACAGTTTGGTTTCTGCATATTTCAACATTAACAACTTGTGAGTCATTGTGAACTGTCACAGCAGGCTAACCGTCGAGCAACCTGGACCTCTGGATTCCCATTAATCTCACTCTTTTTCTGTCTCAGGATGCCTCTCCTCCAGGGTGTCCTCTCTCACATCCTCAGCTGGACAGGCCTCTGTCAGGTCCTGTTTGTGGTCTGGACATTACTGGGAGCTGTGGTTGTAGTGTGGACGGCGAAGCTGCTGGTGCGACACGTCTGGTACACACACAGGCTGTCCTGCTTCAGCAAACCACATGCAAACTCCTGGCTTTTTGGCCACCTGGGCCAGGTAGGTACACACACTGAGGCTGCTAAAACACACATGCATTTGCAGTCTTATCAGTTTTCAGGTAATGATATTTACCCTCATTTGTGTACACATCAGGAGATCTAACGGCACATTTCTCAGAGTGATACAGGATGTGCTCAGTGTTGCATATTATTATTTGCCACACTGAGCACAGTGTAATTATTATTACAAAATATCCTCTTGATAAATTTCCTTTAAAAAGTTGTATGAGAATTCAGCAAAGCAGTGAATGGTAAACCAACCAAAAACTCACTTCACTCACCTTTTAATTTAGAGTTAACTCCCCTTTATGGGACTGCTTTAAACATAAGGTATACTGTGTATTGTGATGTTTTGTTTAAAAAAAACTACTAATATTTGTGCCTCAGATGCAGAGCACAGAAGAAGGCCTCCAGCATGTGGATGAGTTGGTGCAGACGTACAAGCACTCTTGCAGCTGGTTCCTCGGCCCTTTCTACCACCTGGTCAGACTCTTCCACCCGGACTACGTCAAACCTCTGCTAATGGCACCTGGTAGGGTAACGCCCGTCAGTCAGAATACAGTAAAAGTGACATTGTTTTCACACCAGTGGGAGTGTTAGTGGAGCTTCATTTAATGTGTAATGTGTCTCCCTCACTCCTCCCCTCCATGCAGCCAGCATTACAGTAAAAGATGAGCTCATCTATGGCCATCTACGTCCATGGCTTGGTGAGTCCGATATCTCGTGTTGCTCAGCTTTGGTTCCATGTTTCATAACACTTAGGAATAGGTCAAAGCAGTTGTTTAATGTCAAAAACATGTGTGGGAGTCTTTTCTGTTCCTTTTGCTTATGGATAGTCAACATAGAGTACTGAAGGTTTTTCAGGTTTCCCATCATTAAATAAAACAGCTGTTTTATATCGTTGACTGTAAATTAACCAGAATAAAGTCGGATAACTGTGATTCCAAGTACTGATTACAATTCACTGTCATCCTCACCTCCAAACTTTCTCCCTCTCACCTCCCAGGACAGAGTCTGTTGCTAAGCAACGGGGAGGAGTGGTCTCGCAAGAGACGGCTGCTGACTCCAGCTTTTCATTTTGATATTCTGAGGAACTACGTTGCCATATTTAACACCTCAACTAACACCATGCATGTAAGACATTATTATGTTTTTAGATTTGATCAGAGGGTCATTTTAGGCTCAGGCACAATGGCAGACTGTACAATAGTTAAACATGACTGATTTTCTGTCTTTCAGGACAAGTGGCGCCACCATTTGGCAGTAGGCACCACTAATCTAGAGATGTTTGACCACATCACTCTGATGACACTGGACAGTTTACTGAAATGTGCCTTTAGCTACAACAGCAACTGCCAGCAGTGAGCATCTTCACCACTTTCCACAAATACAGTATATTCTGCTTCTGTTGTTCCTCCATTTCCTGAAACTGTTCTGTCTCCAGGTCCACCAGTGAGTATGTGTCAGCCATAGTGGAGCTGAGTGACCTGATAATAGATCGCCGCCAAAAGATTTTACACCACTGGGACTGGATTTACTGGAAAACTAAGCAGGGGAAACGATTCAAAAAGGCCTTAAGCATTGTGCACAGGTACAGCCTGACCTTTATGTACCAGCGTTGCACAAATCACACAGGAACCTTCAAGTCTGATGACACAGTTTAACCTCAAAAATCTGCTGCTGTAATATATCTTATGCAATTCTATGTCATTCTGCTGTCTATTGAATCACATATCTTATTGTAACATTTTTGTAAAGTATTTTATTTTACGGCATTATACTGTATCATATAGAAAGATAAATCATCATAATGTATCAAATAGGAACCTTACATGTTATAGGTATCAGAAAGCACCATATTACATTGTGTTGTATCATGTTGTATCTTATAATGTTCTGTAGTTAAGTGTAATTTTGTATAGTCATACTGTATAAAGTAATATAATTGTATAACATTGTATGATATTGTGGTAATTGTATGGTGCTTGCAGGTTTACCAGAGAGGTGGTTCAGAAGCGCCGTGCCCTGATCAGCCAACAGAGGGAGACAGAAACCACAGCACCACAGAAAAAGAAAGACTTTGTGGACATTATACTGCTTTCAAGGGTAGGAGAGAAGAAGAAATGAGCATTAATGAATGAGAAATGGAGATGGACAGAGGGGAAAGATGAGGTGGAGGGACAGTGCATTAATGTAGCTCTGTATTATTGCAGGATGAGGATGGACAGGGTCTAACAGATGAGGAGATACAGGCTGAGGCCAACACCTTCATGTTCGCAGGTGAGACACTTTAAAGCATGACTGTGGAACTTTCTTCTACAAGGGACAGTTGCCTTAAACTTAAATCAAAAGCTGAGCCCCAATTAAACGCTCCCTATTTCGAGTCCCTTTTACAGGCCGGGGGTGGTTAAATGTGCTGACAAATAAAAGCAGGTCTCAATTAGATGCTGGCATAAACAATATTTTCTCTTCCCATATTGTTGTTTTCCACAGGTCATGACACAACAGCCAGTGCGATCTGCTGGACGCTGTATAATTTAGCACGCCACGACCAATATCAGGAGAAATGCAGGCAGGAAGTGATGGAGCTGATGGAAGGACGAGACAGACATGAAATAGAGTGGTCAGAAAACACACACACAACCTGAATCACTGGACATTGGATAGTAATTCAGTAAAAATGCTTAGTAAGGGGTGGAAAACTCATCCACACACCAGAAACCCTGCAGTGTAAATATACATGTGTTTGGTTTTTTTTTCAAGGGAGGATCTGTCTAACCTTCCCTTCACCACCATGTGCATCAGAGAGTCTCTCAGGCTGCACTCTCCTGTGCAGGCTGTAACAAGGAAGTACACCCAGGACATGACACTGCCAGGGGATTGTACAGTGCCAAAGGGTGAGAGAAACAGACTCATTGGGTATTTTAAAAAGATTTTAGAGGTTTAAAAAAAGCTGTGTCTTGTGTTTTTTTATTCATATTCTTGCATGTCAGTGACCCATTTTAGACCACATACAGTAATGCATCTGACAAAGAATCTTAGGGACAGCCATGAGCCAACCTCAACCAGGAAGTGAAACGCCTGATCAGCTAGTTGGTCAGGTTATGATAACCTTTAGAGCAGTGAACATGAACCCTTCTTAAAGTAGTTGTTCTTTCCAAGGTGCCATCTGTTTGGTCAGTATTTATGGAACACACCACAACCCGACTGTTTGGACAAACCCACATGTAAGAAATGAAAAAGAAGAATCTTATTTTTCTTTTTACTTTGGCACAATTTTTTCATGTTTGACGTGTGTGATTTACTGTCTTTTAGGAGTTTCACCCTCTGCGTTTTGACCCTACAAACAAAAAGGGGCTGGCTGCTCATGCGTTCATCCCCTTTTCCTCAGGCCCCAGGTACTGCATCCTCATTACAGATTAACATTTAATGTAAATAAGATCTAATAGGAACACGTATGTGTTCACAGGAACTGCATTGGTCAGAAGTTCGCCCTGGCAGAGCTTCGAGTCGTGGTGGCTTTGACTCTGCTCAGGTTTCGTCTGACCCTGGGGGTGAACCCCGAAGTCGGGCCCAGCTCTGGGGAAGTTCGCCGTCTCCCCCAGCTTGTCCTGCGTGCAGAGGGAGGCATGTGGCTGCAGGTGGAGCCTCTGACCCCGGACAAGGATGAATGATCCAACAAAGGAAAAAAATTGATTTATGCTTACTGTATTGTTTCTAAATGCATTTGTTTTCTACAAAGCAATTTGTACAATGATTCTTTTATTATCACATTAAAATGATTGACTTAGAAAATTGTTGACTATTCTTACTGTATTATATTTGTTTAAATAAATCAGCAGCAGCACAGCTAACTAAAGAGTTAAAAAAAAACACTTCTGTCTGTAGCAGAGACAGTCTGCAGATAAACAGTCTGCGATAAGAAGTTACTGCATGTGGTTTGATTTAATGAATCTTAATGACACATGATGCATTTACTGCAGGCCTATTCATACATTAGGAAGAATAATGCAGCTTCAAATGGCTTGGTGGGTTGTTTGTCATTTATAGATTAGCTGTAATTACAAAATGTAGCCTTCTTATCTCAGACAGTGCTATTAAATAAAGTGCTGTTTGGAGATTGTATGGCTGCAGTAACGACCTCTGGACACTAGGGGCCGGAAGAGTGCCGTTTTGAGTTGTGTACATGTGAAGATTTATTATTAATTGAATTATTTTCAGTTCACTTTTCTAGAGGTAATTAGTGATTTGGTTCGTTAGTTTCACATCTATAGTGAGTGTTGAGCAGTTTTAAGCACATTTATAAATAGTATACAATAATATAATATCGTTTTTTTCCCCAATAAAAGCCAAGCCCACTTCCGTATGACGACAGGCTCATTGGAGGCTGTTGCTGTTGATGTTGAGCTTTAACTTTCACTTTCAGCTTCATGCAGGTTTTCTCTCTCCTTCACCCTTAACCTTAACTATTGTTACAGCTAGCATACCTATGTTAACCTATAATGTTTCTTGCGTTTAAGTAGCGTTATTTCTCCTCGTTTTTGACCGTTTAAGAGCTGGAGATGTTGCCGTCTGTGACATCCATGATGATAGTGGTCGGTTGTCTGTGTGTTTTACTGGCCTTTGTGTTCGCAGACTCCGGTAAGTGCAGTGCTTCTTGTTGGTAGCTGACTTGTTTTATTACAGTTAAGAGTATATCTTTTTTGTGTGGATTAAATGGGTTTACATTTGCGTGTTGTGTCGCAGGATTGTAGTTTTCCATATTGGCCCCACCCAGTGTAAACCAGCATGTGTGTGTCTGTACAGTAGACTTCAAAGTTGCTGTCAATAAGATAAAGTGCATGAGGCCTGCAATATGAGACCTCATATTTACTAAAGTAGAGTAGATTGTAGCAGGATGCAACAGAATTGAGATGTTCTTAATGGAAAAATATCAGTATACACAGAGCAGTTATGAATACGGTAACAAAAAATGTAGTGAGTAAAAGGTACTATATTACCTTATGAAATGTAGAGTAGAAGTATGAAGTGACATAAGATGAAAATACTCAAGTAAAAGTACCTCAGATTTATATTAAGTACAGTCCGGAAATATATATTTCATATCATATTTCTATCAGTCTCCTGGGCTGGTAGTACAGCACTAGTTTGAGTAAAACACCACTTATAGGACGTGAAAGTGATTTAAACAATAACCAACTGCTAAACTAGAAAGATAATCAGCACACTGAGCTTCTTTTTGTCCTTGCAGAGAAAACCGTGTACAAGAAGGTTGGCGATGAAGTTGTCCTCAATCCTGATACTACCATTGTGCCCACCAGCATCTTGTGGAAAAAACTGCCTGACATCGCCATTGAGTGGGATGGAGAGAGTGTTGAGGCTTTTCGCGAGTTCAAAGGTATATTGAGTCGAGTGTAGCTCAGCTGTTTTGGTGTCTGAGATCAAATATGAGGGGTTTTAAGGGGAGTTAAATTATTGATTTTAATTCTTTGTGGGCTGAAGACTTGTGTTGTAAAGCTAACACCATCCATGTTGATGTTTGTTTAAAGGCCGTAGTAGCCTGAACATTTCAAACGGAGAGATGACAATCACAAGACTTACTCGAGAGGACAGTGGACACTACATACCGGAAATCAACAGCGTGGTCTCCAGTGCAACTCATCTCATCGTCATCTGTAAGTGGATGAACACACAGTGTGTTGTGAGGTTGTGAGTGGATTGGTTTCGATCAGACTAAAATATTTCTCTTGTTTTTCCTCCAATAACAACAGCTCCCGTTCCTACACCCACCATTATTAAATCCTGTGATGGCAGTGAGTCCAGATGCACTTTGACCTGTGATGGAAACACTACAGATGCTGTACCCGTCACCTACAAGTGGAAATCAGATGACAAAGTGTTGACAGGTTCATCTAAGGACCAACACATTGCAAAGGTGTTGTAGTCTCTAATGTAATGCCACAGTTCATCAGTTCTTACAACAATATATGTATTTTTTGTCTCTTTCATTCGGAAATCAAACTAATATCTTGAACTGAACCATTGAGTTTCTACTGCTTTTTACTCTGAAGTGTTCATGAACATGCTCATTACAAGAATCCTCACATTGCAGAATATTGCAGCCAACCATCAAACACTAATGTTGTCATAATATTGAGTAACCTGGTAATGTCATAGAAAGAGTTTAAAACAGAAGAAGCTTCTGTGAAATTGAATTATTCTCAAACACATTGACATTGAGTAACTAAACATTTTCCTATTTAACTATGAGTCATTAGGTTAAAGCCAATAGTCAACTCGTCGTTGCACATTTATGATATTAATTTAAATATTTAGATACGTACATATATCTATATTTTATCAGCCACCTGTTAAATGCTAACAGCAAATGCGATAATGACTCTGAATGAGTTGGAACAACCGGCGAGGAGACTGAACATTTTATTTATTTATTTCAACACAGTGTAACACACATTCTTGCTGTTCCAAACACCGAATAAATAACTTCCAACTTTACAAAATCAAATACTCGACAGATGATTTATAACGTTAACAGTTATTTACAAATTAACTCTGCAGCCCTACAAACTGCAGCTCACTGTATGTGAGTCTCATTGAGAAGTGAAATACAGAAACACAGTTTCAGTGGCCTCCTTAGAGGGCTGACTGTCGTGACTTTAGCCGTGATAAAGGGAAATGGTTTGGTAGACACACTGTAAAGACGTGGGGAGCATAAACAAGGATATTTAAGGAGTTGGAGGAATTCGTTGGGAAAATCTAAAGAATATCTGCTACAGAAAAATGATATAATCTAACATCTGTGGGAAACCAGAACAATGTTTTTCAGGCTGATTTTTCTCTTTTCATTCTCACTTGGTTGTTGGGACATCTGAACATGCTGAAGGTGTAAAAACTGTGTATAACTGTTTGGGAATACTGTTTCTCTCTGCTCCTAGGAGGACAGTTCAGATATAAAAGAGTTCAGCTGCGAGCTGGAAAATCCAGTCAGTCAGGAGAGCAGCCAACCCATCCCCAACCCTTTCTTTACAAGTGAGTTATTACTTATTAAAACACAAAATGTCCTGCGGTGTGTAATACACTGTAAAACCCACTTATTGCTGCTGTTCTCATTTAGCAATAGAAGCTGACAGTATAGTACCAGGAAATCTGAAGATTTCCACAGGACTCACAGTCCTCATCACTATGCTGACAGCTGTGCTGCTGCTGGTTTTCATTCACAGATGGATCGGAGGTAAGAACTCACAAATTATAACTCTATTTATCAAGACAAAACACCATGGCACACAACCGTTTGTCACAATTTGTTCCTTACTTACTAGACCATTTTGAATCTTGGTCCACTTTTTGTGTGTGTGTGTGTGTGTGTGTGTGTGTGTGTCCGTTCAAAAGTTTGGGGTCACTTAGAAATGTCCTTATTTTTGAAAGAAAAGCACTTTTTTTTTTCAATGAAGATAACATTAAATTAATCAGAAATACAGTCTAGACATTGTTAATGTGGTAAATGACTATTCTAGCTGGAAACGGCTGATTTTTAATGGAATATCGACATAGGTGTACAGAGGCCCATTTCCAGCAACCATCACTCCTGTGTTCTAATGGTACATTGTGTTAGCTAATCATGTTAAAAGGCTAATTGATGATTACAAAACCCTTGTGCAATTATGTTAGCACAGCTGAAAACTGTTGTGCTGATTAGAGAGCTATAAAACTGGCCTTCCATTGAGCTAGTTGAGTATCTGGAGCATCAGCATTTGTGGGTTCGATTATACTCTCAAAATGGCCAGAAAAAGAGAACTTTCTTCTGAAACTCGACAGTCTGTTCTTGTTCTGAGAAATGAAGCCTATTCCATGCGAGAAATTGCCAAGACACTGAAGATTTCCTACAACGGTGTGTACTACTCCCTTCAAAGCACAGCACAAACGGGCTCTAACCAGAATAGAAAGAGAAGTGGGAGGCCCCGGTGCACAACTAAGCAAGAGGACAAGTACATTAGAGTCTCTAGTTTGAGAAATAGACGCCTCACATGTCCTCAACTGGCAGCTTTATTAAATGGTACCTGCAAAAAGCCAGTCTCAACGTCCACAGTGATGAGGCGACTCCGGGATGCTGGCCTTCTAGGCAGAGTGGCAAAGAAAAAGCCATATCTGAGACTGGCCAATAAAAGGAAAAGATTAAGATTGGCAAAAGAACAGACATTGGACAGAGGAAGATTGGAAAAAAGTGTTATGGACAGAAGAATCTAAGTTTGAGGTGTTTGGATCACACAGAAGAACATTTGTGAGACGCAGAACAAGTGAACAGATGCTGGAGGAGTGCCTGACACCATCTCTCAAGCATGGTGGAGGTAATGTGATGGTCTGGGGCTGCTTTGGTGCTGTTAAAGTGGAAGATTTGTACAAGGTAAAAGGGATTTTGAATAAGGAAGGCTATCACTCCATTTTGCAACGCCATGCCATACCCCGTGGACAGCGCTTGATTGGAGCTAATTTCCTCCTACAACCTACTGGTATTCTGTCTGTAATGGAGTGGCCAGCGCAGTCACCAGATCTCAACCCTATTGAGCTGTTGTGGGAGCAGCTTGACCGTATGGTACGTAAGAAGTGGCCATAAAGCCAATCCAGCTTGTGGGCGGTGCTTCAGGAAGCGTGGGGTGAAATTTCTTCAGATTACCTCAACAAATTGACAGCTAGAATGCCAAAGGTCTGCAAGGCTGTAATTGCTGCAAATGGAGAATTCTTTGACGAAAGCAAAGTTTGAAGGACAAAATTATTATTTCAAATAAAAATCATTATTTCTAACCTCGTCAATGTCTTGACCATATTTTCTATTCATTTTGCAACTCATTTGATGAATAAAAGTGAGTTTTCATGGAAAACATGAAATTGTCTGGGTGACCCCAAACTTTTTCAATTTGTCTGTTTTTTATTAGTCTTATAATGTTGAGTCTAGTATTACATTTTAATGATTCTGTTGGTTTCCTCTAGGAATGTGGTTCTTCCAAAAAGGTAAGAAGTCTTATAAAGCAATGAAGAGCTCCATATCTAAAAATAAATCACAGGTGCTGGTGGCAGACTGCAGCACGCACATAAAAAGATAGGATTCAGTCTTCTCAGTGTTTTTCTCCTGTACTACATCACACCACAACTTCATGTTTCATCTAAAAACACAAAAGTTGGAGTTTAACAAGTTTATGTCCAATCTCTAGGGGTGGTTGGAAGAGCATTCTGGGAAATGTAGGATATTACAGCATGGAGTATGTTAGAATTTGGGACAGAGATCAGAGATTGGTAACATTTTACATTGTAACATTTAAATTTAGAATTGCTGTCAAAGGTTACTCAGGCATGTATATAAATTCTCTTTTGCAGTTATTCCATATTTAAACCGTTACGTTACATTTTATTTCATTTATATTAGGCAAACAGTTATAAACACAGACTTTCTTAACATATTATCTGCTGTTATTCTCTCCCTGCAGAATCCATGCCATGGGAAGCAGGTCAGTAACTAAACTTACCTACATCATTTAACATTAATTAGTCAGTATTTTGCCAAAGATTGTGATGCATGTTGTGATGTTTTTAGGCTTTTTTCTGAAAAGTGAAAATTGAAAACAAAGTTGTGATTTTGTTTTTGTATAATTTATTAAAAATCAAAGGCAGCTAGTTCCAGTGAGAATGAAATTACTGGTAGTTATGTGACGTTTTACAATAACAGACTTCTTCCGCTCTGTATTTGCCACTAATGTTTCTGTCCTGTTGTCCACCACTGCAGACTTCTGGAGGAAGCAGGAGAGAGAACGTAAGTCTCAGCTACAGTCTGTGTTCTGTATATTTTTTCTAACCTTTTATTACACTGAAATGACATCCAAATGTGCTTATCATTAATCCAGCGAGAGAGGCTGCTCAGTCTAATGGAACCAGTGCTCGTCCAGAGAAGGAACAAATGGACGGTAAGATGCAACTAAAAGCTTGTCTCCAATGTCTAATATCTGATGGTTTTTAAGATTACGGCTCATGTTAAACCTCCAACCTGTACCGTATTTCCTTTTGTCATTTGGCAGAGGAAACACCAATGACATAGGCAGCCAGACTACAACAAGTCAGGACCTATCTGGTGAAACAAGACGATCCAAGAAGTTCCAGAGTGAGGCTAAAATGGTTCAGGAAATCCAGAAATGCTCATGTACTTAAGAATTGGTGTGTCCTGTGAACACATATTATTGAAAATCCCTTACCAGTAGTGCCAGTTCCAGTGCTACACATCTAAATTTAATGGTAAAGCAAAAAGTGAGAGTGAAATTATCTTAAAGCTACTTTCAAAAAGTCATTAGTGATATTTTTTTATGGCTTTTGAAGCCACAAACATGTGTATCAAGGCATGTTCAAGACTCATCCTCGCTCATCTTTTACTCTATATAAGACTGGACTGTTTCTCATTTTAAACTGAATATATTTAAAATACACTAAGAGGGGAAATATTAAAGATACCTAGCCTGAATTGAAATTAGACCAAACACTACAGTGCAGAGATAAATAGCCCGAGAAAAGGAAATAAAAACACAGACAAAAGCTTTTAGACTTGGAGCAGATCTTATGTCTTTCTGAGGTAACGAGGCTCCTCACAGTTTAGACAAAACCAGGAAATCCTGCAATGTGTGCTTTCCTGTCCGTACCTGGTCCCGCGAGCTCATTAAACCACCGAGTGAGGATGATTTGTGATGTGAGGCACGTCTGGTGTGGATTCCTGCAGCCTCACAATGTTAGAGAAGAGCTTGGACCGTGTGGGGAGGAATTGGACGGAGAGCAGAGGGGAAAAAGGGAAGCCATTGTCTGGTTTGGGCTGCCAGCTCAACCAACAAACAAGGCATTGTACAGTCCTTTCCTGCCGACTCCTCAGCAACAGTTTGTGTGTGCATGTGGCAAATATGTGAACAAAATATTGTTCAACCTCAAACAAAGTCAATCAGCTATTTTTTTCTGTTATCATTTCACTGACCTTATATAACTCTTCTTTACTTACTTGTATTTTAGGGTGGTTTCTGCATTTAACTGTAAATTCTGAATGATTGTGGCTTTCCGATGCACTATGTGTACATGCAATATATGTGTGTTTTAAAATAGATGACAGGTTTGTTTTTGCACTTAACTCTTATAAAATACAATACAGCTGAAAGTATTAGGCTTTTGATCTCAAGAGTGCCACCTTTAAAGGTCGAATCATCCTTTGTTATATACAGTTTCACATTAATGAAATTATTTGTGAAACTGCTCTTTAAAATGCAAAGCAGCACTTCTTCTTAATCAAAAGCATTAGTCAAGGATGAGTTGTAGCACCGCAACATTTTTAAATTGTTCCAGACACTCCAAAGAACTTTTTTTGTTTTAAACAAAAGGCACTGACTTATTAATACCCTGTTAGCCTAGTGTCTATTGTTGTCTGTTATTAGTTTGAAGATATAAAGAATGTTGGATGTGTAAATTAAATAAAGTGTTTTTATACGTGCTGTATTTAATAAAACCAACTGAATATGAACCCTGAAATGAAACTCGTTTGTAAATCTACACATCAATCAATCTCGTTTTTTCATTTACATGTCTTTAGTCTGGTTTCTTTCCAACAGTAAGTTAAAGGAATAAATGAGGCACTTCTAGTTGTTGTCCAAAGTTGAACCACTTGAGGGCAGCAAGTTGACACATTTCCCTGAGTCATGTTTGCTGCAGGTTTTAAAACTCAACGCTGACTTTGTGTTGGTACATACATATATATTCTGATTGCAAAAGCATTGTTTATTGTATTTTGTTTGTGTAACAACTATCAGATTCTGAGTAGTCTTGTAGATTTGTCATGTTTTATGTGTCATTATATGTGCATGTTACTTTTTTAGTCGCACCAGGCAGGTAGAGGCCACCTGAGTGCTCTTTGTGAGAGCTTTTCTCACTTCCTTCTAGATGCTGGCTGGTAAAGGCAGTTGCAACCTTTTGTATCAACTAGCAGGAAAATATCCCTTAAAAAAATGTCAGTTTTCCATTTGCTAGCTCCGAGTACAGGCTGTTTTAATATACTTTAAAATAGCACACTTGCATAAGCAACATTTAAGGCTTTGTTTTACTCCTTAAACATTTCAATAATTGAAATAAAGTAATGGCAGCCAGTCAAATTACTGCCAATTTATTGTTGAATGTAACAAACTGAACAAAGGTTCACACTTATACAATGTCAATTTAACACTGAATGATGCATCTGGTGTAAATGCAACACTGAATGACTGACTGTCTGGGTGAACTGCTGAGTCACTGCTTACTGAAAGGACTTCAGGGCTAAAGGGCAAGACCACTGACTGTCCAGCAGCAAACAACTCAATACAGGTCTCACTTAATTACTCTGCCTGACAGACGTTTCCTGTTCCTTGAATATTGGATCTGTAGACAGTTAAACACAGGATTTCCATGAGGAGGAGAAACCAGTTCTTGAACATGCTCTCAGGCTAGAAGCCCAGAGGAGTTTCATCACATCACCGAGTTCAGCTGTATAAACAATGTAAAAAAAAAAAAAAAAAAGAAATGCAGAAAAACATAAGAATCAAAGGTCTCTTCGTGCTGTGAGCAGCAACTACAGCTGACAAAACAAGTCACATTTACAAACCCATTGTCTATAAACCTAGTACCTCACAGGTAGTAGCATCTAAAATACTAATTAGTTGTATAATTGTGTGCTAAAGAGAACTGTGCAGTTGATACTAAACAGTAGGTTGTAAATCAACATAACATTTAAATCAAATAGGACTTCAGCCACAAAACCCCTTAAAGATCAACAATTTATCATCACATTTTACCTTCATGGAAATGATCTACAGACGTTTATTAAGACATATATACTAATAGTCTGCTTCAAACAATAATGTGTCGAATATGTTTTTTCCACCAACAATTCTGAAAAAATCTAACTTACACAAATCATGCTCATTACAATCAGATTTTCAATGAGCACAGAGAAACTTTCCAATTTTTGCAGATGAATGTAAAAACATCTTTCTAGTGTCAACCTCTGCACATACATCATTGTGCACAGTGAAGTGGAGGCTTTAATATGAACATATGGTATATTTAATGTATGGTTCTTTTTTGCAATGGCATCTGCAATGTTTTGTTTTCATGTTCCAAAAACAAGTAATTTTCTCTGCTGATGATTTGATGCCCTCTTTGAGAAACACACCCTATTACATTGTAAAATATTGGATTTTTTTTTCCTCTTCAGAGCTCCAAAATGTTTCAAATCAATAAATTATAACAAGACATACAAATATATATAAGAAACAAAAACTGTGACAAATTGACAAAAGAAGACATTCTTAGGCTTTAAGGGATAAAATCAACATATCTTTAACTTGTTCTCCACAAATAAGGACTGATTTCGAGGTCACTGAGCAAGGCACTTAAACTTTCATACTTAAGTAATGAACATGATGGTTTAGTACTGACTCCAAAAAAGCATCAAACTTTTTATCCACCAAATGTAATTTATTTGTGAATAAAAAAATAAACATATTATTAGTGTGTTTTCTTTTTTACAGCATTCAGACAGGTTCACAGTTATTTCTCAGCAATTATTTCAATCAAAAATGTAAAAAATATCTATACATTCTGAATGTAAGTACAATCCAACTCAAAACTCCTACTGTTGTTCCTATATATTGTAAGAAAGATCCTTTTTATTCAAAATATAAATAAAGGCCACATCTGCTTTTAAAGGAAGCAAATGGACATTTAAAAACCTGCTGAATGTTTGCACTGCTGCATCACATAACACTGCGTTCCTATATTCTCTGCAGGTCATATGCTTCCTGCAGTTTTTGATCAATGTAAAAACAGCCGTACTTGAACCTAAAATAAAAACAACCAGGTTTTAGGGGTCGAAGTCCTCCTTTGTCGAAACGGTACGTAGAGTCACAGGCGCCGAATTAGCAGCAATGATATCAACTGGTGCTTTGTTTTCCACCTATCAGGCAGTATCTGCACCCGACGTACTGCTGAAAACACTAAGAAGAAATATCACATTTCTAATAATGAAATTCAGTTGTGTCTTTAAACAAATAAGTCTATATTAGTGTGAAAATATTTCTAAACATTACTTTCTCAAATGATTATAAACACATTCTGTAGCCTGTTTTAACAGCATTAATACAGTAATATAATTTAACATACTGCATAAAATCTGCAGTTTACAGCTTCAAATAAACTGATACAAGGGAATTAGATACCCTTTATCTTCTGATTATATAACAGTGTGATGTGATTATTCATACAGAAAGGTAAACCGTATCTAAAATGCAAGTATACTGATATGGTCAATTTTGAAATAACGTAATCATGGAGGTGGGTGTAACATTAGATATAATAGGAGTGTCAATGAGAAAAATAAAATGTGTGATGTCTTTCAAAGCTGCAGACTATTTTAATGTAATATTTAGTGATCACATAGTAATCATGAACCTCACCGTCACTGAAACAGGACAGTTCGGCATGTTACAACTAATTCTCCTGTTTCCTGTACAAAATACACAAAAAAAGGCTCAATTCTGGCCATTACATTAATGGTCCCGTCTTTGTGTTGAAGATGATTTGCCACAATGTGAAAGCATAGTACATAGTGCTTCGTATTAAATAAAAAAAAGTAGAATTTACTTTACATTGAGACGTCAGACACAAGACACCAGCAGTCTGACTGGTATAGTGCAGGAGCTTTAGGTAGCAGACGAGGCACTTCTATGATTAAGGCTCAGCAGCTAACACCGAACAAGCCACTCCAGCAACAGAAGAGCGTTGAAATGATTGATCCCGCTGAGTCTGAAGGGCGTATTCACAAAAAGCGGGCTCTACAAAAGATAATGTTCAGCTGGACCGACATGTTTCTTGACATTATGCGTTGACGTTATTGCCATTAGATAAAGTTTCTGCCACTGAATTTGCAGCCACAGGGTGCAGCTCAGTGGGCGTGGCCTGTTCGTTGGTCCCGCCTCCTTCCGTGGGCTTGTTTCTATAGTGACCGATTAAGACCACAGCAGCGCAGACAACGTAGATGAAGGTGAGAATGGTGAAGTAAATGAAGTACACCAGGAACTGTAACACAAATAAAGACATCTTAAAATCAGATTTAAGATATGCAAGATAGTGAAAATCAATAAGTATCAATAAAAAAAAATGTATTACTTAAAAAAAATAAAAATAATAATAATTATTCCAAAACCTACATTCAGTATCTACACCTACTTAAATGGTTGGGTTAGTGTGTTATTAGGCCTTAAAGAGTCTCATGACTTTGAGAGAGCTGTTAGTAAGGCCAAAGCTGACTACAGGTAGCTGGAAAGCAAACTTGAGGCTAATGACTGTAGAGGGATATGGGAGGGTCTGAGGCAGATCACCAACTATACAAGCACAGCGTCAGTGGTCAGTGACGATGCTAAGCTGCCTGACAGTCTCAATGAGTTTTATTGTCGCTTTGACAGGAACCATGTCGGTGACATTACACAACTGATGAGCATCAATACCCCCAGCCCTCCATTTGTAATAGAGAAGGATGAGGTTAGGCTCCTACTACAAAAGCAGAACTGCAGGAAAGTTGCAGGTCCTGACCTCGTATCCTCCGCTACTATTAAGCACTGTGCAGATGAACTGGCCGCAGTTTTCACAGACATGTTTAACTGGTCTTTGAGGGAATGTAGAGTCCCTCAATGTTTTAAGTCCGCTGTTATAATACCTGTACCCAAGAAACCCAGCATTAGTTGCCTGAATGATTACAGACCTGTAGCACTGACATCTGTCATAATGAAAATCTTTGAAAGAATAGTATGTAAACATCTGTCCAGGGTGGTCAGGCTAGATCCCTTCCAGTTTGCATACAGGGCAAACAGGTCCGTCGAGGATGCTGTATCCCTATGTCTCCACTCAGCATCTGATGGCCCCACGTAACCATGTAAAGGTCCTATTTATAGATTATATTATTTTAACACAATTTTACCCTGCAAACTTTTTTCAAAAACTCCAACAAATGGGTGTCCACAATTCCTTATGTCACTGGATCTTCTATTGCAGAGAACACAAGTGGTTAAAATCAGTAACATCTCTAAGGTCAAGTACATTAAAACTGGTGCCCCCCAGGGGTGTGCTTTATCACCTCTTCTATGTACGCTGTACACAAATGACTGCACATCACACACTGATTCTGTTAAAATGTTTAAATTTGCAGATAATACAACAGTGGTGGGGCTGATTTCTGGGGATGATGATGATGCCTGTAGAAATGAGGTCCTCTCACTGATTGAATGGTGTTCCATCCACAACTTAGAGCTTAATGTCTCCAAAACTAAGGAGCTAGTGGTCGACTTCCACAGAAGTGGGAAGGCGTCCCAGCCCTTGTACATCAATGGAGAGGTGGTGGATCGCGTGGACAGTTTTAAGTTTTTAGGCACTACAATATCATCCTCATTAAAATGGGAGGATAACAAACAACATTACCAAAAAAGCCCACCAGAGGCTTTTTTTCCTCCGGCGGTTGAGGAAATTTGGGGTGGCCTGTAAGGGAATGTTGCAGTTCTACCGAGCCGCCATCGAGAGTGTCCTCACTTTTCTGTTACTGTCTGGTATGGCAACTGTACCGTCCAGCAGAGGTTGCAGCTGGACAGGATAGTCAATACGGCATCAAAAATCATTGGCTGCAAACTCTCCCCCATCTGTGAGATCTATGAGGCCCGTATCCACCAGAAAGGCTTAAGGTCCTTCAAGATGAGACTCACCCTGCCAATTCCCTCTTCACCATCCTCCCATCAGGCAGAAGGCTGAGGGCTTTTAAGACAAAAACCTCCCGCTTTCTCAACACTGTAGAGCCATTAAACATCTAAACAGCTCTCCATCCTTGAATCAGTACCTCAGGAAAAAAGGTTCTCCCAACGAGCATGTATAAATTGTATATCTTTTACATTGTTTTTATAATACTTCTCTATATGGGTTTATGCTACCCATACTAGTTTTATTGATTTATTTATTGTAAAGTTGTGGTTGCGCTCTGCATCCCTATGCACCATGTCACTTTAACTTGACATCTGTCACTCTAGCCTTCTGGACTGTCATCCAGGTATGTTTGTTGATGTCCTGAGCACACTGAAGCAAATCCCTAGCAACTTGCAGAGAGTTGTATGGCAATAAAGTAGGGAATCTCGAATCTTGAAAATAGATTCAGTTACACGCCCCACTTCTGAAGCGGTAAAACCCTCACCGCCTACACACCAACCCCTGTGATCAGTAAAATCTTAAAATCAATTTTAGAACTTACTGCTAAACAGTGAAGAGAGGGCAAAACAGGGCATGTCTTCTTTGATCTATTAAAAACCAAGCAGCTACGTTTTGTATCCTCTGAAGGCGGGGTTTTTCGGCTTTTTTGGAAAGGTTTAAAAACTGAGTTTCTCTGTTTCTGTTCCGCAAATGAAAAACACTAGTTGACAGTGAACTCAAGAGAACGTTTGGCTTCTTTATATTACAGATTTTACTAATGTTTTTTTGTGATGAGCATTACAACCTTTTCCTTTCTTCCCTGTCAAGTCTGTCCATCTTGTTCTTAAAATCAAGTCACCAGTGTTGTGTAAGACACCTGCATTATCTTCTAAGGTATTGATTGTTTTACCTGAGCGTGAACGTCGAATGCCAGGCCTCTCTTGTCAACAAATATAAGGATGATGATACTCTTCAGTATGGTCCCCAAAAAGGTGTTGATGCCAAATACCAAGGCACAGAGCTCCTTGGTGAGGGACGACGCAATCTGGAAACTATGGAGGGATAAGATGATGGATTAGTTTGACACTCCAGTTCCAGGTATAGTAGTTGTTCACACTAACACAGTAAATCAATTTGTAGACAGGTAAAAGCTGATTGTATGGTTAGTTCATAATATGATCGTCAGTTTAGGAGGACTTTGAAGGGAATATCTGTTCATTTTATATGAAATAGTTGTGCTGCTATGTTAAGTTACAAGGAAACCAACAACATTGTGCTATCATGTTTTGGCATAACTGCATAACTGCATATTTAACAGAAGGGCTGCACAATTAATCGAAATCGCAATGTGGCCAAATGCAATATCAAATCAATGAAAATCTAATTTGTGGTGCAATTAACTGTGAATCATATCATACCACCTTTGGGAAGCTCTGGTCTAGATGAAGAGATTAAAACCTTGGTTAATGTTTAGTTTAGGGCTGCAGCTAATGATTTTCAGCAATTATGTTATCATTCTCAATTCAATCAAGCCGTTTGGCCTGTAAAGCATCAGAAAACAGCAAAAAATGCCCCTCACAATATCCTGGAGCCCAATGAGCCCCTTCAACAAATGTCTTGTTTTATCTGACCAACAGTTAAAAACCCAATAATATTCAATGTGCTATAATGTCAGACCACGAAAAGCAGGTTTGAGTATCTGGAACTAACAAGTTTTAATAATTTTTGCTTTAAAAAAATGTATTTCTTGTCTTCATTAATAGTTTCAGTTCAAGTTTAGGACCTTTATTCTCCGAGTGGTGAACTTGAGACGTTTCCACAGCTTTATATAATAATAATAATAATAATAATAATAATAATAATAATATTTGCTCTAATTACAGTTTCGACTAACAATGAGGAATATAATAAATATGTTTTGTACTTTTCATATTTAGACAGTTAGACAGAATTTATCTTATTTGGCACTTACGTGGCAATAGGCACCAGAAACTGGTAGAAGCCTCTGAAGAGGACGTAGGACACGTAGCAGACCCAGATGCTGTTTGTGGTGTACATGAGGAGCAGCAGACCTGCCTGCAGCGCTGTGATCACACCGATCACCAGCTCGGACCAGACGTTCCACCGAATTTTCACATAGCCAGCGATGAAGGACGTCACCGCACCTGCAGAAAGATTCACATTGACTGATTGATTCACAAGGTTAAATATTTCTAAACCTCTACTCAACTGGGTTACTTAAAACCAATGGTTCATACAGAGATATTGTGTAAACCAGGCACTCATTCACTACTGATATAGGAGTCTTGTATATTATTTTAGCTTTTAATAAGTAAATACGTTTAATAAGTAATTTCATAACAAAAAGCATAACTTTGGTGTACAATCTTATTTTAATTATCTTATTATTTCGAAGTAGAAATGTCTACTTTTAGGAGATCTACTTTTAGGAGATCTTTCTATAATAGAATAGTCAAGGAAACATTGACTAACAACTAAGTAAGCTCTACCACTGTGAGGAAGTTTTTTCTGTTATCATTTAACTACCATCAGATTTTGTTTTGCAACATAACTTTAACTGCTTGCTCATGTCCAGGTTATTTAAACAAACTGCTACCTTTGTGCTTTACAGCTGTTTAAAGAGAGATTACTGGTCAAACCTGATGTAATCAATTGGCAGAATAAAGGTGGGAGGTCATTTACTCAACCTCAGTTTACGTTTCCAAAAAACTAAATTCTCAGTTTATCATTGTTCTTTAATGTTTGTGAAGTTTTGATGAAATATAGGAGAAAATATAAATGAATATTTGAAGAGTCAGAACTGTTGTTTGTTGTTGTTGTGTTGACAATAATGTCATCAGTTAGATCAGAGCTATGGAATATTAAATCATCCATCTTTGTTCACTAGATCTCAGCCTTTCTTACCGTTAGATGTGCAGAAACAAAATCTTATGAACTTCCTTTTAAAAGAATGTGAAATTATTATTATCTTATTGGTATTGCCCACAAGAAGCTGGTAATTAAAAAAAGTTATTGTATGAGCTTAAAAATATCCATATGGTGCATCCCTAATTCTTTCCTTCCTTATTCAACATTTAAAGGCCACCTACACAAACAACTTCTCTCTCATCCCAGCATGAAAATCCTTCACAAAAAAATCCTAGATTAAGAATTATTTGAGTTTTCAGAGCATCTTTGTGCAAGAAAGCCACGAAGACTTCCTCCTGGCTGTCTGTTTAAGGGCTTTTGAAATGTGGTTTTCACTGAGCAAAGAGTTGTTACCATTATGTGCATCTAAATTTAGACAGCAAGCTGGAGTCACATGTGAAGGAGGACTGTGAAACTGAAACCCAACTGCTGTCTGAGCACTGAGCATAAAACACAGATAACATTGCAAAACTCCAGCATTATTCCTTTAAAAACTAAACATTGAAGCTCCAGAGATGTCTTACTTAGCAAGGTAGAAGCTGCCTCCACTCCCCCGTTGTAAACATGCTTGTTCTCGACTTTGTTCCACAAGATGTGAACGTAGAACAGCACCAGGTAGTACCCTGTGGAGTTGAACACCCACCACAGGGACCAGAGCCTCAGGTTGGGCCTCCTCACAACGTTTCTCACCTCAAGCAGCATCTGCACCATAACAGAATCCTTCCAGCGTGATGCAGTGCACGGTGGGGCTGCCGAGGATGGCGCTGGGTTAATTTTGTCCAGTTCGGACCTGCTGGCTTCTGCTGCCAGTTCCTTTGGCTCCTTATTCCACATCCGGTTGAAAAACAGGGAGCGTTTAGGCCAAGGGAGGCACAGTGAGAGCACCAGACCAAAGCTGACGAAACCCAAAGATATAGCATTGAGGGTGTAGAAGCGGATGTTGCCCAGAGACATGCAGAGCTGGCCCACCACAGAGCTGGTGAACACCCCCAAGAGGACTGAGGAGCGCGAGTACCCAGCCACGCGCTGGTAGAGGACTGGACTGACGAGGGAGAAGATGTAGGAGGAGTAGGCAACGCGGCAGGCCATGGTGATGCCGTAGAAGAACTCCATGAACTGCATCTCGAGGAGGGTGGTGCCCAGGAGCAGAATGAGCCAGATGACCACCTGGCTGATACCCTGGATGATCAGCACCGGTTTGTAGCGCAGAAGATCCGTCAGTAGGAAGGCTGGCACCAGCACAACCATGTAGGAGTATGTCAGCACGGGAGTGATCTCATTGGTCACCTGGAAATAAAATAAACTCAGGTAAAGTTGTAATCAAGATGAGAAATCAATGAGGTAGACGAATTGCATGACCAACATTAAAATACTGCGTAGGTTAACCCTATTCAGCTACGGACACTTCCCATAGTAGGCAGGTTTGTTCCTAATATAAGGACTGTTTATTGTCGACTGTTGTTAAATGCTGAACAGAACCGGTTCAAGAACCAGAGCGAATTTGGTGGAAAAGGGGTTCTCCTAGTCCACACTTCTCTTCCTAATAGTTCCCATTTGGAGTGACGATTGCAGTGTTTTTGAACAATTAATTTTACCTCCGCTTACCATCACATTAGCTCATTACTAGTGAGAAAATTACATTTGAACGATCTCAATGTATTATTATTCACTTTCTGTAGTATTTTGACAGTTGTATGTTTTTTTTATTCATTTATTTCATTTGAAAATAAAAATGACAGAGATTCCTCCATGTACCACTAGAGGCAGCTCACGTATTACCAGTGGTACACATAGTATAGTTTTATATAGTTTTAGATCATATTGCACAACCATATCAGAAATCTGGGGGCAATACACTAAATGAACAAAATATAGAGGAATCTGTGGGCTCAAATGACCTCAACAGTATATTAATGAATATTGATGTATTAATTCGTTGTTAAAATGAATGTAAATTAAAAACTAGTAACCAGATTATAAAAATTCTTAAAAAAACAAAACAGAAAACAGTTGCTCCCACAACAAATTTCCCCCCCAGGGATCAATAAAGTATTTCTGATTCTGATTCTGATAAGAAGATGAAGTGGCATTACAATCTTATAATTACAGTCTTGTTGTTGCAGAGACAGCAATTATTCTTCCGGCAGACGGCCTTCAGTGTTAATGATTGTAAATATGACCATGAACAATTTGGTGGTGTGATTAGGAAATATAATTTCTTATCCCTACTTATAAATCAAAATACATATCACAATATAAAGCTGGGCAACATATGTCAGATATCATTTACACAATTTTTTTCTGATTTGATACATATATTGATTTAGAAAAAACTAAACGCTTTAAGAACTGCACCAATTAGAAGATGAATCGATTAGTCAACATCAAAAATTGTTGAAGCCTTTTGTCAAGCTGAAATGCAAAAAAAGGCTATTTTTAGCGACTTAAATGTGAAGATTTCCATATTTTTCTGTGTTGTGTATAATTAGAAATTGAATATTTTGTTTTTTGTGGCTGTTGGTGAAACAAAACAAGACATCTGAAGATGTCACCACAAGCTCAGAGAAACTAGGGTGGATATTTTTCAATATTTTCTGACATTTTGTAGAATAACAGATTGATCTCTAAAATAATGTACAGATTAATCACTAATGAAAATGATAGTTGCAGCCTCAATCAAATTGCAATATGGTGCGTTTCATTCACATATAAAACTAAAATCCTCTTTTGTTTGCTCTGTTTGTTAGATTTTATTTTGGATAGCAGATATTGAAACAATAACTCTGTATGATCACATTATCACAATAATAAAATACAACATCTATTGTTACCCATAACTATGACAGTATCTATTCAAGTACATTAAACACATTACAAGGAGTTTTATGAAAAAGTCTTGATGTACTACTGATGCCTCTATATGACATAAACAAACAAGACCATCAGCAGGATGATTGGCTATTTCTATACAACCCCTGACTGAATCCACCAAGTCAGATTCAGTCCAATTCCTCTTGAAATCAATAAAACAAGGGGGTGGAACCACTACCGCTTTCATCTGCAGGGGGGCGCCAGAATCGACACAAATTTAAAGTTCCTTGTGGGGGCTTTAATTGATCTTTTAAATTAGCTTTTTGATTTTTATCACATTTGATTTCATGCAAGAGAAACTGGAGATCACCAAGACCAGCGTCATTGGCAACGTTGGGCTACACGTGTAATCACAGATAACAGATGATGAGGGATCATTTAAGTCAAGGGCAGCTCATTCCCTGGAATCTGTCTTGGAATTTATTGGAAATGGGAGTGACGCTGATTGAGATATTAACACACATTAAGGTGAACACAACAAATCTGTAATACTAAAACTAATCAGCTCTTGGTACGAGGTCATGGCTGATTCAGAGAAGGAAAAAGAAAATAAATAAATCAAACAAAACAGTGATCCAAATCTACAAATCACAGTCCTCCACAAGCCTATTACACTGACCCACTTTGGTGGAATGTGAACTTTGACCACAGTAAGATGGATCAACAAACTCCCCAAGGTGGCACTCATTACTTCTACTGTGTAATGAATGAGTGCTGGACTTTATGGAGAAAAACTTATGAAAGAGTCTTAGAGGTTAACTTGTATTCTGTACTGAATGGCCTGGAGTGCAACTCTGCATGACTGGACAGTCTTCCATCTTTCATTATTGTATTTTTTGTGTCTGTAATAATACAATTTTTCAAATGTGGTTATAACTGCTCTTATTTTCCTTCACACAAAACACAAATGTACCTGCACAAAATCAAACATTTTTCAGTCTGAGGATGCCACTAACCTGTTCCCTGGTGAAGTTCTTCTCAGAGCTGAGCAGATATGGCGTGATGAAGGGCTCCCCAGGCTTTATCGATGACATAAACCCATAGAAACACAAGAATATCACAGCCCACTTCCACTTTCTGGGCTCCCTGACTTCCTCTGGGGGACCCTCGGAGGGAGACAGGCCCTCAGAAGCAGAAACAGCCATGTCTACGTCTCCGTCTTCAGATGCAGGCAACTTCAGGTCCATGTCTTTCTCCCCGTCTGATCTGTCCCCACTTCCAGCTGTGTCATCCGCAACCATTGTGTCAGCTGGTTTTATGGACCACTCTTTGATGCAGAGTGTAACTTTTGTGCTCTGTCAAACCACCATGTGAGGATTTGTTTTCACTTGAAAAGCTGCAGACTTCCTACTTGAAACAGAACAAACAAACCGCGCAGTTGGGGGTTGAAAACTTGTGGTATAACACTGTGGTATCCTCTCAACCTGTCGGCCTCCCCATTCGAGGGAATACTGAAATGGTGAGTATGAACCATTTAACAGGGTTATGACAATGTAGTTAAAGTGCTACATGCTTCCATTTGCATGTAAGAGAAAATGTTGACCTTTGCTCCATTCCACGCTGTGACATTTTACCCAACAGCAAGCTATCCAACAGCTGAGTCTGGTGTCATTGTTAACCTGAAAAGATAACAATGTCGTCAGTTAGTCAGACTACTTTGACAATGTGCGGCAGACTTTAGAGCACAACTGTGTTTTCTACTTTGGAAGCAAACTGTAACACACTGGATTAGCTCAAACGGGCAACAATTAACAATCATGGTCTTTACTGATAAGTCTGCAGCTAATTCTCTTAATAAATCAAATTGTTTTTTGTCTGAGGTATAAAAGAAATAGTGGAAAATGTCCACGCCCTCAAATTAGGCCTGTATAACTGCCGATTACTTACACTATCTGTTAATCTTTTAATAACTTTCACAATTAATCGATTGGTTGTTTGGTCCATAAAAAAACAATCATGGTTTCCTAAAGCCCAAAATAACTTCATCAAATGTCTTGTTTGTCAACAACCCAAATATATTCACTGCCACAGAAAAAAAACAGAAAATATTCAAATTTGACAAGTTGAAATCAGACAAATTTGGTCACTTTTCTCATAAAAAAATGAGAATCAAATCAATTATCAAAATAGTTGGTGAGTGATGCAATAGTTGAGAACTATATAAATCCTGGCTGCTCTACTACAAATAGCTTCATTAGCCTGACCAGAGGTCTAAAACCCCAAAAATGCCTTCATAGAAGAGAATAAAAACTTACAAATAAAAGAAATACATATCTAAAAACATTACCCATTTCAGCTCTAAACTCAATCTAGAGAGATTATCTGCTCGATAATTCAGGATCATGCTCGAACACACATTACCGAGCACCAGTACTCTCTGAAGAAAGACATAAAAGTGTAAATATATATAAAACACACAGTGTGCTCCTGAGGAATGACTTACGTGAGACGATTTTAAAGGTGTGATGCAAACAAGTTACACAAGCCAAGTCACTGGGTTACAGTGTGTTAGCATGCCAGGGTCTCCCCTACAGCTGCAGTTCGCTGTTAATGTGCTATGAACCTGGCTGTGGTGATGTTTGTGCAGGTCAACCAAAAATACAGGTGTGAAGTTAGAGCTAGTTAGCACGCCGGCTAACAGTATTTAGGTTTAAAAACATTGCATTCTTGTAGCTTTAGCTTGCACAAAAGGATAATATTATCTCTGTGAAGACTAACCGGAAGCTCGTTGACGCAACAACAAGCTGGCTTTCCGTTAACAAAGCACAATTTTTATTTTGCTTTCATTTTAATCGTACCTTATAAACACAAAACTCAGTTAACGTTACCTCGTGCCTTCCCGACGCTGCAGCGCTTCATTAGCCGCCGCCACATCGCGTTGACTTCTGGGAAATGGAGTCCTGCTTTCTTACTTCCGTGACAAAAAGCTGGTAAAAACTTTATTTAACTTCACGCTTATATTAAAGAGATATTCCAGTAACACCCGGGTCAAGATGGTGCGATTTAAAAACAACAGAGTTCCTAAAATTTAACATTTTATTTCACATGTTTGTCTTTAGCACGTTTGTGCCCCATGTTTGCCACCTGCTGGACAAATATTGTTACAACGTGTTTCTACAAATACAGTGCAAATACTACTACTACTACTAATAATAATAATAATAAAACATCTAAAAGCCATAACAAGGAAAGGGATTTGCAGACAGTTGTTGGTATATCATATTAAAATATAGAACATGTTGCATAACAATATTATAATTTATAACGTAGTATCACCTATCATTGCAATCAGGTGATATTATTATGTTCTGAAAAATAAATTGTATTCAGTAGCTAAAGTTAACTGGTCATTGGTCATTTGGTGTTGCTGTTACATTAAATAACAAGAATTGATTAGGCTACAGTATAATTGGATCATTTGTCAGTGAACATCCAGCTGGACCACACTGTTAAAACATTGTTTAGAAATTCTACTTTAAATAAAATGTATGTAAATATCAATTATGTTTTGTACCTGTACTCAAGGAGACTGTATATGACACTGGGTTACTTTTTTTAGAAGTTATTAAAATGTGCAATATCGCCCATTTCCAGTATCATATAATTAGTTATCTTTTCCGTGTCACAAATCAAAAACTCAAATGATCATTTCCGTATGACGGTTAAGTTATTCCTTATTTTATCGGTTAGGAGTACCCTGTGCAACCACAGCTCTACAAGATGAAATCAGTCAATGCAGGGAAAGTTGTAAAACCTTTTTATTAAATTTATTATTGGCAGAGCCTGAAATGTGAATAACAATTTAAACATTTTACTGAAAAAGACAGCCATATATAAAGCATATATAAATAAACACACAAACATCAAATCACCGTCTGTATATTTAAAACCAATGCACTCCAAGATTCTTTGGTTACGAACACTGAAAGGTTTCAATAGTGGATGTAGACAACAGCAGATTCAATAGATGGCAGCAGTGTACCACAACAATCAAAAGTAGAGACCGAGATAGAAACAAAAAGTAACATAAACTATGATCATCATACTTTGACTGTGTCTGGAAATACTCTCAGACTGGACTTTCTGCACAGTGGACATATGTTTAATACAATGATGCTTTAACAAAAATCTGTCAAATGGAAGTGGAAACATGACTAAACTGAAGTTGATTGAAAATGTATGAAGCCATTTTGAAATATCAATTTTATCTCTCCCTCTAGCTCTCAGAAACTCTCGTCATAATTTCATACTGACAAGTCTTTATTTAGCTCTGACGTCTACTTGAAGCCATTGTATTAGCAATGCTAGTGGCATTGTGGCTCTGTGGATGTCAGATGGTCAGTCCACCACTTTGTTCCAGACTAAACAACTATTGGATGGATCAATAGAAAATGTGGTACAGACATTAATGCTCCCCAGAGGATGAATCCTAAGGACTTTGATGAGGCTCTGGCTGTCCCTAGTGCCGCCATGAGGTTAACGTTTATAGTTGCAAATGTGACATGAAAGTTTGGACAAACGTTCATGTTCCCATCAGGATGAATCACATAGGCTTTGATGATCCTCTGACTTTTTGGCGTCCAATACAGCCTCAGCTGCTTGTGTTTATTGCTAATAAGCTTGCATAAGCTGGCTGTAGACTCTTTTGACTCAGCTGAGACATAAAGCCTTCTCTTTATTCCCATTCATATCTATCTTTCCATAATAAAATATTGCACAGGCTGCAGGGAGAATTTACAATAGATGGAGAACAGAACATTTTGTAACTTTTCTTTTTTAAGAGCAGGATTTTGGGAGTGCATCTTCCTTTCTCGGCTAAAACAGTCCAGTGAGGTTTCAGAGCACAGTTCCGAGGCCTTCTGAGGTCTGAGACGTCGACCTGCTGAACTTTGACCCCAACATCTTCTCCTGTCTGACTTTCCTCTGAAGAAGTAGCGCCATGTTTCTCCTGAACTTCTCCCCCACAAAGGCGTAGAGGACAGGGTTGATGCAGCTGTGGAGCAGAGCCAGGCTGTTAGTTACGTGCAAAGCCATGGTCACCGTCCTCCTCATGGCACAGTCAAACCCCACCAGATCAGCCCTCAGCACTGTGTCCACCACCATGGTTATATGGAACGGGGTCCAGCACAGCAGAAACGCAATCACTACAGCTATGATCACCTTCATGGCCCGGTGCTTCTGGAAACCTCGAGTGTGCAACAGCCTCGCGATGGTGACACTGTAGCAGGTTACCATGACAGCCAGAGGAAGAAAGAAGCCAAAAACATGGCGAAACACGCGGGTGGCGAGCCTCCAATAGGTGGCACTGCCGATGTCAAAGTTTTCAGAGCAAATCATCCTCTTTGTGTCAGAGTCTAGCTTGATGGCATCGTTGAAAAGTGCAGGCAGAGCGAGGGCCCCACCGAAGGCCCACACCGCTGCACAGATCAGCCTGCTGCACATCTTCTGACGACTCCTGAGACTCTCGCTGGCGTGCACAATCACCAGATATCGGTCAATGCTAATGCAGGCCAGGAAGAGGATGCTGGTGTAGAAGTTTGCTTCGATGATGATGTTGAGGAACTTGCACATAAAGTCTCCAAAGATCCATCCTTTGACCAGTGCCACAGCCCAGAACGGGAGGCTCAGGGCCATCAGACCGTCTGCTATCGTCAGATGAAACAAGTACACATCCGATGGAGTCAGCGCCTGTCTGCTGGTGCCGATCACCCACCCCACTAACAGGTTCCCGGGTATAGCCAGTAAAAAGATGCCAATTAGGAGGAGACACAGGGTCAAAGCTACTGTAGGATCCAGAGGTTTTATCTCACATGATAACGTATTTGGATCCACAACGTAGGGTGTGTAATTGTAGTTGTCGGTAATATTCCCTAGGTCCAGGTAATCCTCACCAAAGTTAATGGAGATCGACATGACTATGGATGAAAAAGACAGACTGAGACTAGTACACTATCACACCAGTACAAACAGTGATTCAGCGTATATTAAAGATGACTAAAGAGATTTTAAGATGCAGAAAGCAAGAAGAATTTGAAATATTATTCTGCCTCATTGACATTGTAAAAAACTCCAGCTATTATTGGACTAAATACACTTAAAAAGATTTGGAAACAATAGCAAGAGCATGCATTAGTTTTTCAAGTTTTGAAAACTGGGATAATGATAAATACTATGTTTGCTATCATGGGCTTCCAATTAGCCAATGTGAGCTACTAGTCATACCAGTCCAAGTAAGGCTGTAAAGCATCCCTCTGAGTGCATTAACTTGATTTTACTGTATATGAATTTAACTTTTTATTTATTTACTCAAGGGGGGAATCCACAAGTTACCCTGCAGTGTGTAAAGTGTTAAAAAAAAATTAAATTAAATAAATAAAAAGTAGCCTCACATTTACTAACTGAAATTAAAAAGTAATGTAAAAATCATTATCCAATAATATAATATATATTATTCTGAAATGGCTCAATTTGCAAAATGAGTACTTTTACACTATTTTGATGCTGATACTTTTGTACTTTTACTTAAAAATGTTTAATGCAGGACTCTTACATGTAACACTGTGGCATTGCTGGTTTTACTTAAATAAAATATCTCAGTACGTCTTCCAACGCTGCTCTTTAATATACACAAATGTAATTCCTTTTATTAAATGTATTAATGTATTTTCTAACCTATGAGAATAAACTAGTTCAGACACTCACCTTCTGCACTGGCTTGGACGTAGCTTTCAAAGATGACAACAGCTTGACACCAAAATGAGTTTGTGGCAAAGAGCATCCTTTTAAGTGTGATACAATATGCTTTTTTATTGAGTTGACCCAATGTCCTGATGACGCAATATGTTACTGGACATGCCCGCCTCGTCATATGTTTTTGTTGCAATGCGACTTTCTGACAGAAGATTTCAACATGTCGCAGTATGAAAAGCAGACGTGTGAAAAGGATAAAACGAAAGGTGGCTGAGTTCCATTCAGCTGCTTCAGTTTTAGGGTCCTGGTGTTGTGCGTGCTGGCTCACTATCACACTGTCACGACCTACAGAGGCATATAAGTGGCACCTGCAAAACTTGTGCTTTTCCTGTTATGACAAGTCATAATGACTGTATACACGTGGGGAAAATTATAAGACCTGAATGAAGAACAATGCCAAAAAATGTTTGGCTCAACACAAAACATAGGATGGTATTTCATTAATTTATCTGAGTTATTTATTTGATGTTTAAATCACAATATGTAACTTTATTTGTAGGAGATAGAGATCAATTTAAACAATAAGAAAAGCCTATTGTTACATTTCAAGGGAGAAATTACAGTGCTCCCATCCTAATAATACCCATAAAAAAAAATGTAGATTAAAAGACAAAATCATATTCAGTAATAAAACTGTTAAAAAGAACCATTCAAACAACAACATGGAACCAAGATTAAAATAAATTTATTTTGGGAATTATTCTAACAAAATCTGAGTGTGTTGTTGAAAAAGTGATTACAGCAGTGGTTCCCAATCTGGGGGGGACTCTCACGAGGGGTTGCAAGAAAGGAAAAGCAGAAAAAAACTATATATTTCTTCCTTGAATTTTACATAATTTGCTAGGATCGTTGCATTTTTTCTTAAATCTTTAATTTTTAAAATTCTAATTAATCCTTTTTTAGGGTCCACAAGTCAAAAAAAAAACTTGGGAACCTCTGTCTTAAAGTGATGATTTTAGAAAAAGAGGAAAAAAAGCTCCCATTTTATTTAAAGAAAATTAACCTTGTTTTTGGCCTGCAGATAAAACTACAGGCCCTGGTCTCCCAACACCACCAACTCAGACTTCAGACTCAGTATGTCTACAACTCATGGGATTAAATAAATAAATAAAGCTCCCACCGTAAAAAAGACACATCTATATCATCAGCATAGTAAATACTGCAAGACTTTTCTGGCATTTTGACACGACAAGATTTTGGATGTAGACCATTTACTACACTTGAAAAAGTTCTTTCTTTTTGGCTTGTGACACTGTTGCATGGCATTGGGTAATCAATGCCGTGTGTGGTAAGGTGTTTTACAAATCACAGGTCAGCTGTGACACTTTCTGGAAATTAAATACGTTGTTCTCACTCTTGCTGTTGCAAAAGTCTGGTAACATTCCCCTATTTCGTTCCAACACTGTGTCTACTGTTAAAAAAAAAAAATGTGAGAAGATGTGCAATTTTTAAGTTTTAATTTTTTAAGTGGACAATCCAGCTAAAAGTTGAGATTGTTGTTATTTCTGTGATTTTGTAAAGCAAAGTCAAGATTTGTGTGCAGAAACAGTGTTGTATAACAAACATCAGTGAGTGTGGGGAGAAGAAATGTCAGTAATGATAGGGGACAGAGCTGCTGGAAGGGCAGCACTGACTCACTCCCCCTCCCCTTGATCTTGTAGTGAAGTTAATGCGTACATCCAGACACAAAAGCACCTCCCCTTCTCCCCTTTATCCCCATAAATCACTTCATTCAGGTTCTGAGAGATAAAATACACAATTATTATCACATCACTGCTGTCGGCCCTGCGGCTGTCACATATCGAGACATAAAGGCTCCACTCTACTAAATGACAAGAATGTCACGTTGCCCGCCTCCATCAGGAAACATAAAGGTGCCCTAACGAGAAGGGCCTGTTTTCAGTTTCTGGATAATTATACTGTTTGGGTCAACAGCATGTGCGTGTGTATGTTTGTTTGTTATGTCACACTTCAATAAACTGAAAATGACTCAAAGAGGAAGAATGACGTGTGACACAAAAGTTCATATCAATATTTTGGTATTTTCTTCAGCTGTTATATTTTGATCTCTTCCTTTGCTGTTTTGTTTGACTTCAGGGTAAAAAATAATCATATTTAAGCAGATTACATACAGGGATGCACAATTAAATTCAAGCCCCTTCATACACACACACATATATATATACAAACATTTTACTTTGGGATAGGATAAAAGAAAATAACATACATACATATATACACAACCAATAACATATATCTTACCTGTTCTGATCTTATATTAAAAATGTTATCCATTTTAAAAATATTCAAACTTCATCTTAAACTAAATAATTCTTCTAAATTACAGAAAAACATTAACTGAAATAGAAACAGTAGCCTACTACTCATACTCTGAGTGTTATTGCCTATTATTTGCAACACAAAACAAAACTTTACAGGATCCAGCTAAACTGGAATCAGCTCCGACAGTTAAGACCTGTCATGTTTGTTGTGGCAGCTGCTCAGCTTTCCCCTCACAAACATGCCAGACAATATACGGAAAAGATAATGTGAAACTTGGCACGGGCCCGACTCTTCTTTGGAACCTGCGACTCGGCCCCCTTCTGTGGAAATGCTTGATTGACATCAGGATCTCATTTTCATCCGGTTCCAGCCAAGAGAAAATATTTGCTCTGCAGTGGGCATCTTCTTTCCCTCATGTGCTGAGGTCAGAGGTTGTAAACAATGTTTGCTTCTGAAGTTACACTGGAAACTGGAGATGATTATATATATATATGATTATTATCCCTTTAAAATGACCAGCTGTGCTTGGAATTTAGTTACGTTTGGGAGTGTGACCGTATGCGCTTTTTCTATAAGATAACATTTTTTAAGAGTTTCAATATTTGACAAGGCACTGTCTTTGGGATGTTATTTGGCTGTCACCACCCTTATGTCCTCTCGGCTCTTTGTAAATAATAATAGTGATAATAAATGAAACAATCCAAGCGTCACAAAACAATCAACATCAAAAATTTGGGATAAAAACTGGTACTTTCTTTTATACACACATTATTTCCTTGAGTAAAGGTACCAGCACATCAATGTAACAAGTAAAAAGTCCTACTTAAGTATCAGTACTGCAGAAGAACAGTCCCTGTGATTGATATATTATCATATTTGACATTATTAGATCATTATTATGCATCGGTGTACAGTATGAGTCATTTTATTGTTGTGGCTGCTCGAGAACTTTATACACAGTTAGGTTTAATCCTGTAGTTCTCAAACTAGGGGTTGGGCCCCTCCAAAGGGTCACAAGATAAATCTGAGGGCTTGTGAGATGATTAATGAGAGACGAAGTTCTGATACACACATTTGTATAAGTTTTTTTGGGGGAATATTGGATCATTTTACGTCTTTAAGCCTCAAACTGTTATTTAATTTAATCCATCTGCAGTTTAGAGGGAAAATGTCTCCTTCGTAACTCTGATAACAACTAATATACATCTGAAACATGGCAATGGCCCCTAAATATTTATTTTCTTAAAGGTCACAAGCCAAAAAGGTGGGAAATCTTTGGTTTCATTTTTATGCATTTTATTTCATAAAACTACATTTGTTTTGTGTTCTTAACCTGACAAGTAATTTGTAACTACTGTACAGCTGGAGTAAAAAGTTCTCAAGAAAACCTCAAGATTGAACTCAGTTCTTGAGTAAATACTTTCCACCACTGCAGACTAGAAGTGGGAACTACACCTAATGGGAACGTACTGGTCTCGTCAGTCAGCTTGGTCAATTAGAGTTCTAATTTATGTTAATTAAAGGATAGACTTCAAGTACCAAACATACCAACGTGCGCTTTCAGTTAGCCTGCAGAAATATTCAGAGGCACTGAGAATTCCAGATTTGAGCAGCGATAAGATCGGACAGATTGAGAGGAAGTTCTGGAAACAGATAAAAGGAGTTCTTCTTCTTATGATCAGTGTGAATGTGACAGTTTTTATTTTCATTTTATAACTAATTGCTCCTTTTTATTTCTCACACCTTGTTATGTAAAATAACTCATGTAAACATGAAATGATGCTACCACAAACCAACTCTTTATTTAAATCTTTAATACAAATAAAAACTCTCTTTTTTCCAATTTTGAGGGGAAATCATCAAGGGAAATTATTGTTTTCATTCCCTCAACAAGTAAGGTCAGTTCACTCAAAAACATGAACAAAAACCCAAACATATTTCCTACTAATAGCATATGTATGAGACATCTGCCTCTGGCACTTTTTCTGCCATCCCAACACAATGTAAATGAATGTTATTTCATTTAAACAAATTCAAAATTATATGTTTTTTAATGCACACCTGGTAGACAGGGTTAAATTAAATATATATATATATTTATATATAATGTAGGTCCATGACTGAAACGTGTATTTACAATAACAACATGTTGGTTGTTATTCAACATAATTCTTTCTCCATTTCCAATGAAAACTGTTTGTACCTGACAAAATAGATGAAATTCCATTCACTTCCTTTATATGGGTGACAGATGAGCTCATAGATGCCTATCTCTAAACCTCAACAGTGGAATGTCTTTTGGGTTTTTGTTATTCGCCATCAACCCAGCAATATCCCAGAAGTGCAAGGGCCACACATAAGGGTTGATTATATGAATATAAGCAGTGAAGAAAGATAATATTTTTAACTTTGAATTATTAATTAATCAAAGTGCTGGCCACATGAGCAAAGAAATATACTGATACAAACTATGCTAGCTAACATTGGAGTGGATTTCCTTGCAGAAAGAAAAGGAGAAGAAAAACAATAAACTAGCAAGGGATTTATCTCCAAATAATAATGTAACGGCCAACTGTTTTTAAATACTAGCGTTTATCATTTATATTATAAAAGATTTTGGGCAGAAAAATATCAACAAACATAGACTGCTTTAGCTTGAAATTAGTGAAGTTTTAATAAAGACTTATATTTTCATCAGGTCAACTAAAAAGTGACTGAAACAATTAATTAATTATCAAAATAGCAGCTGATTAATTTTCATTCATTTCAGTTCTATTGGATTAAAACAATACA